AGAGAGAGAGAGAGAGAGAGAGAGAGAGAGAGAGAGAAAAGTACTTCAATGTAACCACCAGGGGTGGCACAACAAAATATTGGCACGCATTTCATCGTTCAAGTCTAATTATAATGAAACATAAAACGTAGAGGATCTATCAGTTATTTTAGCTTTCTGTTAGCTTGTGTATACATTTTATCGACGAACTATGAACGCAATCACATATAATTCAGTATTGATATTTTTATTTTGTTACAAACGGCTTCGAATTCATATACGCATTAAACATGATTTACTGGACAGCTGACGTGTGGGTTGCACGTTATATAGCGAGAATAATTTACAATATAAATTCTCTTTTAAATGCAATAGGTAGGTTGGTGTGGCCATGAAGTGCACTACACGTAAAATCTAAGCGATCGAATCGCTACGTCAGAGAATGATGACAAGTGAAGAGACGATTGATTAAAAATCTCATGTAAGCTCTACAAAGTCTGTCTACTTCGTCGCGTTGTCTTGTGTATCGTCTGTTCTACACATAGGTATATATATATATAGTGCTCCTGTTCACTTGCATACCTATCACTTCACACAAAAGCGATCGCATCGTTCAAATAACTAGTGAGGAACTTAATAATCCAAACCGTTCAAGGTCCGAGAAACTATGTACAACCTCATGAAACTGTGCGCTCACAAACCTGTGAACTGAAGGACAACTGAAATCTTCCCCAATGGTTGGTAGGTACAGAGACCCTATATAGATATAGTATATAGGATCTTTGGTAGGTATAACAGAGTTGGTAATGGAGTAAAACAGTATGGCGGAAAACAACAGAAATCGTGAATTTGGGATCGAACAAACCCCGAGGCCATTAAATCGTAGACCCATGTAAAATTATTTACAACAATGTACAACCATCATGCACAACAGTATTCAATCGTATACACCTCTGTATACCACTGTAAAGCCACATGCAACAGTGCTTAACTGTATACAGTCATGTACAACCATGCACGCATGTGTATAATGTTATAAAGTGATGCACAACAAGTTTTACTGGGGCTGATAGGGTCTATGTCCCCCAGGGTACTGCCGGAACGTACCCTGGTAACTATCTAGCTGATATGGTTAGGGTTACTGTTAGGGTTAGGGTTATGGTTATAGTTAGGGTTAGGGAGTAGGCATAGGCGACTCCCTAGACTCGTTAGTGGAGTAGGCGAGGTACGGTCCGGCATATTAGATAGTAGTATTTAGTATCAGGGTACAGTCCGGTATACCGGACCGTACCCAGGGTACGTTCCGGCAGTACCCAGGGAGACATAGACCCTATCAGCTTTACTGGGTGCAATGATGTCTAACCAAGTCCAGCCACGCACAACCATGTACATGTGTGTGTGTGTGTGCAGCCATGTACTTGCGTGCACAACCATTTATAGACATGCACAGAACTGCACAGCCATGTAAGGCAATGCAAAGCCATGTATGGACATACATCACAGCCACGCATCCACATGCACAACGATGTGCAAATACACACGGCCATTTATATACATGCACAGCCATGTATGGCCATGCCAAACAATGTGCAGACAGATATACACAGTCGTGTTCAAACATACATAGTCACTACAAACATGCACCGCCATGTATGGCCATGCACAGACATGTTGGAATATGTATCACATAGCAATTTTTATCACGCACGCATGCACACACCGATGGCATGTGCGTGTGTATGTGTGTGCATCAGGACGTGCATGCATGCGTGTGTGAATTCTACGTAACGAAACTCTACGACACGTCTGTCACTATTTACAATGCAAAGCACGCGGGCGCATGCACACGCGTGCACAACACTCGGTTCATGTAACTACACAGTGTAAAGCAATACCGCACACCCACGAGAGTGGATCCATTCACGTAGGAATGCATAGGACAGTGCGCAAAACCCTCTGCTCGTCGCACGCTCAGCTCACAAACACTGTACCGTCTACACTACAGACGTCACCCTCCGTGTGCTACTGCATCCTCCGTACACTGCATCATCTATACACATCCTGCCTCCGCGCTGCATCCTCCATGCTACACGGCGGGCATCCTGCCTCCGCGCTACACGATGGGCATCCTGCCTCCGCGCTGCATCCTCCACGCTACACGACAGGCATCCTGCCTCCGCGCTACACGGCGGGCATCCTGCCTCCGCGCTACACGGCGGGCATCCTGCATCATCTATACACATCCTGCCTCCACGCTGCATCCTCCGCGCTACACGGCGGGCATCCTGCCTCCACGCTACACGGCGGGCATCCTGCCTCCACGCTCCACGGCGGGCATCCTGCCTCCACGCTACACGGCGGGCATCCTGCCT